TGTATTAAGTAATTAAGCCGATGCATCTACCTGTTGTCTCCAGACTGGAGCTCCATGCACACCAGACCACACTGTGTCAGAAGCCATCAAAGCAGACTCTTTCTTTTCTTTTCAAGAGCTCTACAGGGTATTTTAGTGCGAAAGTACACCACCCTGCCTCCACCGAGACTCTCCAGATTCATTTTCTTTCCCAAATTAAATTCTACCCTCGGATACGGTCACTTTATCACCCACAAAAAAACACAAATTGATGCTGCAGAGCTGCCTCCATGCTACTCTCTCCTGAGAAATCTGAACTTGCCTAACTTTCTCTGTCTGATTACTTTGGTGTGAAACAACACAGGTCAGCATAGGGGCGTGCAATGAGCTGATACCCCATCTTTCTACACCACCACAGGCTGTTGGAAGTCAGATGTTATTCAAGTGCATTTTTATTCCACGTGAGCCTTTCATGTACATCTTTGCATCGAGTCTGAATGTGTTTTCCAGATCTGTGTGCGCCAAATCTTCCATATCAAAACATTTCTTTTCTTGGTTTTGCACAGGTGGTTTAAAAAGCAACATAGTTACATTAAAAAGGTCATTAAAATGAACTCAAGAGGGACAAGTTTTATAACAAGTCACATGAACATCAATAGTAGATGCCAACACTGCAGTATTGTTTGGCCTGTTGATATGATGCTTTTAAACCACAGCTGCATAAATGCAAAAGATTCAAGGCAACACGATGATGCTAATTGGTAGCTGAGCTCCTGATCATGGAGGAGGACAAATAAACAAACTCACAAGACATTTCATGCATTATACTAAGATATATAATGTAGAAAAGACAGTTATTCATTTTAATATGAATGTATACGTGGACAAAAACAGGGCTCAGGCTTTGTCCTGTGACCCATACACCGCACAGTTAGTAGCCTAATTTTCCCATAAACTACATCCCCATCCAACAAACATCTAAACAAATGAACTAAAATAATAATTGCAACACTCCTTAGTTTAGATTTAAACTTTATCATTAATATTCTCATTACTCGAGAAGAAAAACAAAGTACTGATTATTAAATCCTTAGCAGTGACCCTTCTGACCTTTCCAAATCTAAACGTGACCTTGCTTTCGCCATCGCGCCCCTCAGCTTTTTGAACCACCTGCCTGAGGAGATAAAGCTCCATGACTTCCTTTAAATCACTTATCAAAATGTTTTTAAAGCTTTGTTTGACTTGTCTTTTATCAGCTCTTATTTTTAAATAATTTTCTGCTATAATTACTGTATTGCTTTTATTCTTTTAATGGTATTTATTAATTATTCTGGCATTATTCCACTTTTTCTATTTGCTATTTACACGTGCTTCTTAATTAATATTGTTATTATTAAAAGTAGAGTTACCTCATAAGAAAGCAACGTTAAGTTAAATGCACTAATCGCACCAGCTGCTGCATTTTTTTCCTCCATGTTGGTAACAAATGTGAATAATATGAATTAAGGCTGGCTGTGAGTGTCAGAGTGCTGGGTGGCACCTCTGACACTCACTCCACTCCACCCTGACATGATCGCCCTTGCTGTGTCGTATCGATAGGAGCTGTTTGTAATTGACATTTAACTGCTTGTTGTAGTGATTAGTGAGTGACGCCTGCTGCCATGATGAAATCATATACAGAAAAATTGCAACTGACCATTAAATAAAGAACCAGCACCTCTGATTGAGCATGTGGCAGTGCACCTCACAGTACTTTGAACTTAAAGTTTTTATTGTTATTAGAACATATGAGTGCATTACCCTCACTATTTGGAAATAATCCCTTCAAAGTGCCAGCGTTCCCTCTATGCTGATAGTTTAGTGACCTGTGACTAATATCTTATCGCCAAGTCCAAAAAATTATTATTCTTTATTTATTATTCTCGGTCACTGCTGAAGTCTGTTTCTAAAGAAGGAACATTTTCATCCGAGTTTCAGAGTCAATTGAGAGCTAAACCATTTACAATAGTTTACGGTTCAGTGATCAGACGCTTCTGGGACCGTTCCAGCTGAGAGGTGCATGGTGATAATGGGCTGTATGCATTAGCGGGGTTATGATTTTGTTTTGAGTATAGTGCTTATTGACTGTGTTGTGAGAGGATGTTATGGAGGAAATACTCTTTAATGTTTCACCTGCATTGAGTTTTATATATTCATATTCACACTCTCTCTGAATTGCATCACAATTTGCTATGTCTGCGGTGACTGTTAGAACTTTATTGCTATGCTTAAATCAAGTTGGGTGACACTATGTCACAAGATGCAACTTATATCATTTACTGGACTTGACTGGACATTAACTGTGAAGTGTTATTTTCTGCTGTATTAATTGACTTAGTCTAGACTAGAGTTTGTGTTTGTCCAGCACTTGGGAATGCACAGAAAATCTCCTTTGTCTATGTTGTTTGTTGTTGTTCTTTGTCTATTGTTTCAGTCTTGGATTAGCCAAAGTTTCGAATACTGAAGTCAGTGTGTTTTAAAGGAATCCATTTGCTCCAGTCTGCTTTATGTACCTGATTTGTCCTTTTCTCTGATATCAGTTTAAAATTAACTCCTTGCTATGGTCATCTCTAGATGAGTAGGCGGGGCTTATAAACACTAGGTTCTTTCTAGGGAAAGTGAGCTTCCAGCAGCTGGAGTTAAAATGGCTTGTTTCAGATAAAGCATTTACTAACTGGATGTCTAAAAGGTCAGCATAAGTAGAGTCCATAATTAAACACATAAGAGGTGGAAATGAACATAATGGTTCTCCTTTAGCATGTAAAACAGGACTTAAAAGCTAGCCTGAAATGACAAACTCTAGCCTTTGGATTTGTAGGAAGCCCCCTGGCACTGCAACCAACCTAGAAACATTTTTATGTATAATGTTAATAAAAACAAACCTTGTGATTTTCTGTTTTTATTGTGGAGGGGATCACTCAGAATAAATATACTGCAGGCATATATTAAGCTAGGCAGAACAGAATTTTTCCTAATATGTTCCTAATAGGAATTGAAAGCTGGATCACTCCTACTAGTTGCATTTCCATATTGGGAGGTCAGATTACCTCCATCAAGCTTGACTTAAAAAAATCCAAAGTGGGTGCTTTGAGCACCAACAGTTTGAAAGATGAGTGATTTTTTTTGTTTTTGTTTTAGACAATTGAAGACTCTCTGTGAAAGTGTTACTACAGCACATCAGTGCTCTGTAATGTGTTGTTATCAGCTGGTATTTCTAACAATGATAACCTGGCAGCTTGGATATAACGTCATTGCCACCTATCACAGATTTATATTAAAACAAGCCAATATTGATCTTCTCATCAATCTCTTGACAGGAAAGAGGATGTTAAATATGTCCTTTATTAGTCTTTATACTCTCATGCTAAGGACCAAAACAGTGTTCAAGGGATATAAACTATCCATTCAGTCAATTTTGGGATATGGAGCCAGCTGTCATGGGTGAGGCAGGATACACTGTGGACAGGTCGTTAGCTTGTCGCAGGGCTAATACACAGAAACTGACCATTCAGTCTCACATTCACACATCCGGTCAGTTTAGAACAACCAATTAATAATCCCATGCATGTCTTTGGACCGTGGGAGGAAGCCAGATTACCCAGAGAGAGCCCACACAAGCATTGGGAGAACATGCAACATGCACAAAAAAAAAGGCCTAAGCCTGGATTTGGACCAGGGACCTTCTTTTTACAATAAGAAGATCCACTCGGCCACTGGCTGCCAATTCTAAAAGGTGGCCTTTCCCCTAAACCAATCAAAGAGCAAGTAAAACTGTGTCTGATAACAAAAACAAGGGGGAAAATTAAATGAAAAGGGTACTACAGAGGGCACAAACCCCAGCTTCCTGGGTTAAAGTGTTGTGACTTTAACATTCATGCCATGGATGAATGCACAAAGGTAGGCCTCTGCTGCCTCAGTCTGGGTGATAGGTTAAAATTTTCCATCTGGCTACCGTCACTCCAAAAACCAATGAGTAAGAGTGCATTTGCATTCATATGTTTCTGCAGAGCCAAAAAGAAGGAGACGCAGTGTTTTGGTACTTTTTGATTTGCAAATTAATTTACCGGGTTGAAAAGGGTCGACTAAATCACCACTGCAGATGTGTTTGTTGAACCCAATCAGCCTCGTAGAGCAGCACCAACAGTGATCCAGGTAAATAGGTTGAAATAAGAGACCAAGAAAGAGCAAGGGAGTTTAACATTTGGATGTGAGACTGGGTTGTTTGAGTGTAAGTGAGGTTCCTGTCTCCAAGGAAGACTTATTTTTGGGTTTCTT